GCCTTTAAGGGGAGATTCCCTCCCCCACCAAGAAACTAAGGTAACAACTTGGAACTACTTGATGCTATCAGTGTCCACCTGTTGAATGCCTATTTTGTGCTAACCAGAATGCTCAGTGATGGGGAGAATAAAAGCTTTCATAAAGAAGTAAGTTGTAGGGGCTGGGGATGTGGCTCAGCGGTAGYGCGCTCCCCTGGCATGGGTGCGGCCCGGGTTCGATCCTCAGCACCACATACCAACAAAGATGTTGTGTCCGCCGAGAACTAAAATGTAAATAAAATATTTTAAGTAAGTTGTAAGCTCACAAAATTTACAAGCCAATAAGTGGAAAACACAAGATTCGTGTAAGCAAGACAAATATAAGTCAAAGTTTTTTTTTTGGGGGGGTGATGATCCAATAGCAGGTTAGCTTTCGACTTTGTCGGAGGAGCATGGTTTTCGTGGAAGGAGGGGAGGAAGGACCTTCTAAGCCGAGGAACATCCTGGGATGGTAGGATGGCGCTGTGTTCTGGGAGAAAGGGACCAGGCTTCTGACAGTACCAGGGAATGTGTGGGAGCAGGRAGAGGATCAAAGTGGGGAAAGATAAGATCAAAGAAAATGAGATCCAAACAGCTGCTGAGTCAGCTGCCTGCCTTGCTGGGCAGACCCTGAGACTGCACAGAGGCTGGTGCGTTGTCCACCYCACCCCTTCCACTACTGAAGCACCCACTTTACTAGCTGTCTGGATGCTGGCAGCTGACAACCCTCAGGACACCAGCTGCCTCCTGAGGAATCATCCTCCTTGGGGGCAGTTCMTATCCAGTAGCTGGAAGGGGAGGGGACACATACACTTGCTCCCTTGCTTAAATCTGAGACAACTCTAAAGGGCTGTCATGACTCCAGAGCTCCCCATAAGAGTAGCTGCAGCTAYGTCACTGGCCCTCTCTTCTTAATGCTCAGTCCTGTTTCCTTTATGCCCTTACAGGTGTTACTCCCAAAGAGGACTCCCCATTAAATCTACCTGCTAATCTAGATCTCATTGTTTCCAAGAATCTCAGCCTAAAACAGGAAGCACAGTGGGGAGAAGTGAGCACCTCATGTAAATGGGAACTGACCCAACTGGACTCTTGCTCCCCAGGTTCACCTTGTCCCTTATGCTTTGCCTGCTCAAGCCCTGAAATCTTCCCTTGGTCATGCCCAGCCGAACCACATCAGTGATGCTCGGTTCAGTTCAAACCAACCAGAAGCATGCTCCACTCGTTTCTGAAATTAACTTTTTACTCTTTTAAAAAAAGTTAACRATGATTCCAAACTCTCTGAAAATCAAATATCTACCAAGTGCTTTTGTATACTGAAAGCCTCTTTTTAYGTTGATACAATTGGTTTTATCACTCCAAGAAACTGAGGATTAGGGGAACACAATTACTTCTCAAACAGGCAAGTTTCCTATCTCTTAACTAAATGTTCTACACTGACAAGTTTCTGTTTAACCACACAAAGTTCACTAGTTACATCTCCAAAATCCCCAATTGCATTTCTAATAAAAATTTATGTGCCCAAGTTCAAGGATTGACTGAATTGTTCCAGAAACAGTAGGTAGGTTTTGGGTTAACAATTTCTTCATTTAGACTTTTGGTATGAACACAACTGTGAGCCTGCATTTTCAGCTTCTCTAGGAAGTTGTAATATCAAGAAGAGTTAATTTAAAAACCCACAAAATTCCCTTTTCAATCAAACTTGATAAAATACATCTATTTTTGCTCAGAATTCTTAACAGGGTACCCCAGAGGAATTCCAGCTTAGAACAGAAAAGAACTGGCTATCTCTGCTTCCACAGAACATCTCCCTGGAGATCCTAACTCCATACCATAGAAGGATGAAGCAAAGATACAGCAACTGGAAGAAAATGGTGTTCTATACTATGCCAGCCAGTAATTCTCAAAACTGA